CACACACACAGAGAAACATACAAGAGCAGACCAAGCCGTCTGCATCCTTCAACTCACTTGAAAAATCCGCAGCGCTGCCTCTTCATGAGACACAACATGATCATGCCAAAGATGAAGAGGACTGCGATCAGCACGCAAAGGGTGACCACCACCGTGGAAACCGTAGCATCGGCCACAGATTTGCGGTACTCAACATAGCCAATATCCGAGTTGTTGAAGACCAAATTTCCAACTTGAACCTGCACAGAACGATAGTATGTTTGTTCGTTTGTTTGAGTTAAGAGAAACACTTCGACAAGATGTTTTATTTTTTGTTTTAGTAGAGGTTTTACGGCGCTCGCAACTGCATAAGGTCATATGAGCGCCAGAAGATTACAGGTGTCACAAGAGAGTAACAAACATAAAAAAGAAGAAAGGGAGATAAGGACGATAGATGTTTGATGGGAAAGAAGAGGCAAACCACACCAGAGCACCCACCAACCACCCACACGACAAGATAATCGTCATTTAGTGCTGGTAAAAAGTAAGACAGACAGACAGATACAACAGAGGGAAAGTAAAGAAATATGATGTACCGTATTTGCCCTAAAACCATCAACTAGATAATAGGAAGAGAGATGTGGTGGTGTGATGAGGATGATGAAGATGATCAAGGTAATCATGACAATCCTATTGGTAATAATGATGGTGATGATGATGACGATGATGACGATGATGATAATGACGATGAAGACAACGACGACCACGACGATGATGATGATGATAGTGATGACTCTAACGACGATCAAAACAAAATTGACAACTGACTGCATCAAGGGTCACATGATCATGACTGGACCCGCCCCCAATTCTTACATCTCTGTTTAATAGGCAGTGCCAATTAGGGGATCAGTTTGGTTCGGTTCGGTTTAGCTCCGTTTCTGGCAGCTTCAGTGCCCACTATTATAAATAAACCCTCTACCTCAAACTGATCGCCCGATTTTATTTATTCATTTTTTTTATAGTAAAGGGATTTACGGCGCTCGCAACTGCATAAGGTAATATGAGCGCCAAGGGGTGGGTGTCAACAGAGAAGTCTTTACAAGGAATCAGACTTAGACTGCTCACCTCTCTAGCTTCAACACCACAAGGTCTGCTTCGACTATCAAGGCGCCCCGGAAATAGCAGGTCACAAAAGAGTGACAAACATACAAAAGAAGAAGAGGAAAATGACAATAGTAAGGATCATGGGGGAAAAAGCAGCAGTTCCCTGCTATAGATCAGGCACAGTTATGAGCGTGACATGGGTCAGTCAGCCCATTTACAATTCTACTATGCTTGAACGAGAAATGTCTCCCCTTTGGGAATGACCTAAAGACACTATAGTCTGTGGCACCGCCCCGGGGGGGTTTCGCCCGATTTGCCACCTTGAAAACAAACACGTATGTCCATGTAGGTCATCGTTGGTTCCGTTCCCTTTGCGCCACCATGGTGGTAGCTTTTCTCCCTCCAAGGGGGGAAAAAAATCTAGCTTAGCCCCAATGATCGAACCGAACCAAGCCGAAACAGATGTTGCCAAAGCGCCACGATGTTGGTAGCTTTTCTCCCTTCCTGGAGGAAAAAAATCTAGGAAAGCCCCGATGATCGAACCGAACCAAGCTGAAACAGATGTTGCCAAAAATGGGCACTGGGCGTAACTGAGCAATGTGACAATGAAGACTGACCTCCACCAAGTACTTCTTTCCCTCCCCGACACTCAGGTCCGTGTAGTCCGGCGTGCACTTCAGCTCATCCTCCATCACACTTGTCACGTTGCACAGCTTTCCTCCGATGAAAATGTGAACGGTGGTCTTGATGCCGATGAAATTTTTTCCCTGCGGAAAAAACAAACCCAGCAGGATTATTTCTTGTGATGAGCCCAAGCATTGCTGTCTGTTGATGCCGTCAATTCAGGCAGGTCTTGGACTCAAATGGCCGCTGAATCGGAAAAGTAAAGTAGAGTAAAATGCGCCATCGATTCAGTGTCCCTATTGTAACTGACCTAACATCTTTGGGGTCTTCCTTGGATCGAGAACATGCACAAATTTGGTAATTCTACAATCAGTAAGTGGGGGTACTAAGGGGTGGGGGTGGGGGTTGGGGTTGGGGGGGTTATAGTGGATTACGTGCTCTGCCACACATGTGTGAACGTATCTCTTTTTTTTTTTTTTAAAAAGTGTTTTACGGCACTTGCAACACAATAAGGTCATATATGTGCCGAAGATTAGAGGTGTTACAAGAGAAACACAAACGAGGAGAGATAAGGACGTCAGAGGTTTGACAGGAAAAAAGAAGCAAACCACACCAGAGCACCCGCCAACCACCCACAACGCATCTCTCTATACATGACATAGGCAGTGTATGACGTAGTAGTGCTAGTAGTAGTAGTAGTAGTAGCATGCAATGCAAAGAGTCTCTCTGTCCACTTGCTTGCTAAATGACCAGCTGTCCCCTGCCACACATGCAGCAAATGATTCTTTTTCTTTTTTTTTTCGTAAGAGTTTTACGGCACTTGCAACACAATAAGGTCATATAAGTGCCGAAGATTAGAAGTGTTACAAGAGAGTAACAAACACAAAAAAGAAAGAGGGGAGATAAAGACGATAGATGTTTGATAGGAAAGAAGAAGCAAACCACATCAGAGCACCCGCCAACCACTCACAAATGATTCTTTACAAGCAAACAATTAGTTATCTGTCCTTTCTTTGCGAATGCTACCAGCGAACTGTACATTATTCGCGCTGAAGGCTGACGTGTCCTTGACACAGGCAACAGGGGGTAAAGAAAACTTGCCTGAAATTTTAGTTCTCATAAGAGTCTTACTCATTTGCAAACCACACCAGAGCACCCACCAACCACTCACTTGCCTAAAATTTAAAAGACAAGACTGGCAAGGTGGAACTCATTGTTAAAAGGAAAAAACAAAGGGTTAATTCAAACATTTCACGAAAGATTATTGAAACTATCTGCTCAGGGGCTATCCTGCAAGGTCTGTATGGAAGGTTAATTCAAACATTTCACGAAAGATTATTGAAACTATCTGCTCAGGGGCTATCCTGCAAGGTCTGTATGGAAGGTTAATTCAAACATTTCACTAAAGATTATTGAAACTATCTACTCAGTGGCTATCCTGCAAGGTCTGTATGAACTATCAGGCAACAGCCCAACATCTGCTTGGTTTTTAGTTTCAGTAAGAGTTTTACGGCACTTGCAACGCAATAAGGTCACGTAAGTGCCCAAGATTACAGGTGTTACAAGAGAGTAACAAACACCAAAAAAAAGAGGAGAGATCAGGATGAGAGATGTTTGACAGGAAAGAGGGAGCAAACCACTCTCCAACCACCCACCAATAGGTGCGAAAAATGTGCTGACAACAAGTTGACAAAATGACAATTCCCTGTAAGTTGTGCTGGCAAAAAAAATCACATTGCTTCGTTTACTTACAAAGAACGAGATCTCTTTTTCGCTGACGTCAAACTCCTTCACCGTTTTTGGAAAGGGGCTGAACTTGGGGTCGTTGTAGTACTGAAAAGTGCTAAAATCTGTCAGGGAGGTAAAGGTAAAGAGGAAAATTGTCAAACTAGAT